GGTCTGTGGAGTTCATGAATGAGTACGCTTCTGGTGGACATGCGAGGAGACTGAAGGCTCCAGAAGCTGCAAGATGCTACAACGAGGGCGATTGAGCGGGAATTGGCACGTTGACAAGAAGAGTCTCCTGGGAATCAGTCAGCAGAACCTTCAAGGAGCTCTACAGCTCTAAGAGCATCAGAGGAGCAGGCGCAGGAAACAGCTACAACTCAGCAATCTTTGTCCTAGAGTTCTAGACGGAATTTGGGACACTAAGATTAGGCCCCGCAGTCCTCTACAATGGTCTCAGGAAGACAAGAAGGTGACGATGGAGTTGCAAGAAGACAAAGAGCGCAGCGAACACCAAGTCCGCTGGCAAGGCCAAGAGTACCATTTGACTCCCCAAAAACATGGTCACCGGTGAGTAATGTGCTTGGTTTCGGTTCCGGGTTTTCAACTTTTTGCGGCTGCTTTGGGTTTTCAACCTTTGCTTCGGTTTTTGGTTGCTCTGTTTGTGAATCCGCACGGTTTCCGTAGCTGTCCTTCGCCATGGCTCATTGATCTCGCCTTCCAGGCTGATCTTACTTTTTAGCCTGTGCCGGTCAGGTTGCTTGCCTTCTCCACTCTCCGAGTGGTTCGGGCTTAGAGCTCAGACGCGTCTGTGCCTCTTCTCGGGACCCGGTCCCCTCCTGGCTGCTTTTCCTCGATGTTTCCCTGGCTCCGCCAGGTTTCTTACATCATGGAGGAGCACCTGGACCAACTTGTGGACGAGAGCTGATCTGCGATCTGCTCCTTTGCACTAATTGGTCACATCGCCAGGTCTCTGATCTGGACCAATGTCGGCCCGGTCCTCAGCCTTGTTCCGCAAGGTCTTTTGTCACGGCTCGGCCCGTCTAGGTCTCTGGTCACTCCGTGCCCGGACGACCTTGATCCAGTGCCCTCTCTGGCACGACGTGTTGTCTGCACAGTGCTTTCAGCTGACCTGTCACTGCTGCATGTTTTCTAGGCTTCTGGTCCGTTGCTGTCTTCATGTACATGATGCAGCCCGCGGTCCTTTCGGCTTAGATCTCTGGCCTTGGGCCTTCAATTCGCTCTCTTTTGCCGGGTCCTCCGGTCAACAATCCCGGCCCATCGGTCCGGGAGATCCTTGACGTCCTGGAAGGGGCCAACCGGGACGACATTGAAACAGCTCTCGGCCAGCTGTCCGCATCGACGCTGGGCCAGCTGCAACACAGCATTTCCGGAGCAATGGTTGATCCCCTTGCTGCCCGGTCCGCTGCCCGGTCCGAGGATGTCGACATACCCCCCCCGGACATCTCCTCCGAAACGCAGATCGACTTGCAGCATTGTCAATCCTCCTGGCAGTCGGCTCTTTCTCACCCGGCGGTGGTGGACGACCTTTTGGCCGCTGAAATTGCGGCTGGATGGATTGAGGCCGTTCCGGGGGGAGATGAGGAGCTCCGGCCCCGGTTCGTCAAAACTGCTGTCGGGAAGCTGGGGGTGGTGGTTTTTCCGATCACCGACCCCCACGGCATGTCGTGGACAGTTCTGTCTCCGGCGTCACATCCCACACGCAGCTTCCCAACCGGTGTCCGATGCGCCCTTATTTTGGATGTGGCCAAGCACACAGGCGCATCCGTATCCGGGCATGTGACTGGGGCCTCCTATGCTTCCGGCACCGGGGTACCCTCTACTTGTCCAAGTGCCTGAATTTTCGCGCGCGAGCCAGTAGTTTCTATTGGGCACGTGTGGCCGGTCTGCTGGTCCGGATGTCCCACCGTCTATGGTACGTGTCTCACTCCGGCTTCATTTATGTGGATGATTTCCTTGCTCTTTTGGGGGAGACCAGTGCTCCCCTCTGGTCCGGGTTGCTGGTGGTCTTTCTCATGATACTCCGGGTTCCAATGAGCTGGCGCAAAGCTAGTCTTTCCCCGCGTCTCATTTGGATCGGTTGGGAGTGTGACTTTTCCCTTCTTCTGGTCCGGTTGGAGGCGTCCAAAGCCTCCCGCATCTTGGCGCTGATCGACTTTCTACTTCATTGCCGGTCATGCTCTTTGACTGACCTTGAACGCATCGCTGGCAAGCTTTTGTGGGTCTCCGGCCTCTTTCGCACGCTTCGGCCCTCTTTAACCCCACTCTATCGGGATCAAAACAGGCTTCCTCCCGTCATGTGCGCTCTTACCCCGGATCAGTGGTCTTCTCTCCGCCCGTTCATCACTTCCGATTTGCGCATTACGCGCAACTTGGGGATCCCGTCCGTCCAGGTTGGTGCCTGCCTACTTCGGGTTGGCCAGACACCGATCTCTTCGCTCTCTGACCTTCCCAGCAACCCGGTGGAGTCACGCTGGGTCTGGCTCCAGGTCACAGCAGTTCGCAGCCCTACGCGAACCGTCTCTGACGAATCCAAAGTTTCGTTGAAGCTCTGGCGCGATCTCATATCGTCTGGTGCGCCTTTCCGGTCGCTCCGCCTTCCTCCCACGCTTGCTCTCGAAGCCTTTGCGGATGCCTGCGCCGCTGAAACTTCGGTGGGTCTGGGGGTTTTGTTCGCCTGCCTTCCGCTGACCGTCTGTACTTTCAACACCAGTTCGACCGTCCGGCTCTCTGCTTTTTGTGCCCGTGGCTGCACACTTCCGACTCCCTGCAGCCTTTTATCAGCACATGGGAGCTTCTGGCGCAATGCGCCTTAATTCTGCTTCTGCATCGTCTGCTTCCGGCCGGTCACCCTCCGTTGCACGTGCTGTTTCGTTGCGACAACTCAACCGCTGAGTCCGCGTCCTGGAAGGGACTTTCCATGGCTACTGGACTTTGTCATGTCCTGGGCCAGTTCCTCCGTCTGCAGGAGTGGTACCGGATCGTTGTCTCTATTGAACACGTTCCGGGTTTCCAGAATGACCTTGCGGATTCCTTGAGCCGCAGTTGCTCTCCGGCTCTTCTAGGCTTCTCTTCTGAGGAGCATTTTTCCGTGCCCTGGGAGGACGTTCTGTCCACTTCCCCGGTCCGGATTTCGTCTGGGTCAGACGACCTGTCTCCTTTTTTATCTGCGTTGGCCTGAGTTGGTGTTGGGCGAGGGTCCGTGGTCCGGTCAAGCCAGTTGGGCCAGCTTGATATGATCTTGGATTTCCGGTTCACCAACTTCTGCCGACCGGTTTCAGGTAGCCGGTCTGTCCGTAGCTGCCGGTTTCCGACCGGTCTGAACACAGGACCGGCTGCCTGGTACACTGGACGGTTCTTCGCCAAGGGACAAACAGGAGGGTTGACCGTGCTGCTTGCTGCCTTATGTCCCGCCCTACCTTGCTAAACCCGGTAGGAAACGGAAGCCAAAACCGAACGGTCACGAGCATGATCGTATGTGTTTGGTTGGGACGTAACGGAACATCTACCGGCCCTGCAGCTCTGGCTCAGGACGGCTTGGTTTCCGTTCCGGGTTTTCAACTTTTTGCCCGCCACCACCCCGGCTTCCGCCTTGTTTCCGGTTCCGGTGCACTTCTCGCTCCTGTCCGGCGTGCCGGCGAGGCTCTTGAGTCTCAACAGTCGCGCCGGCGCGCCGCCCAGCAACGCTTGGTGCCCCTGGGTGATTTCCGGTAGTGTCCGACTTGCTTCGCAATCCGAATCAAGTCTGCTACTGCCTGTTTTCACTACTTTGTGCCTTCCCTAGTTGGTCTTCCGGTTGGATTTCCGGTTCACCAACTTCTGCCGACCGGTTTCAGGTAGCCGGTCTGTCCGTAGCTGCCGGTTTCCGACCGGTCTGAACACAGCAGGACCGGCTGCCTGGTACACTGGACGGTTTTTCGCCAACGGACAAAAAGGAGGGTTGACCGTGCTGCTTGCTGCCTTAGGTCCCGCCGTACCTTGCTAAACCCGGTAGGAAACGGAAGCCAAAACCGAACGTGATCATTTGAAGGAAGTGGAGGGTCTTCGAACGTCTGGTCTCAAGGATGATTTGGCGAAGAGAGTGAGTATGCGGCTGGCATCGTTGATGACGCCTGCAATTGGACCCACAGTGAAACAATTAAAATATGTTCTTTGGATGTGGCGCGTGAAGGACATGAGAGGCAGGCATTTTTTGAGATACTATGAGTTCAATGACCGATCGAGAGCGTCGGCGCTGATTAATCTTTGGAGGTCACGTTACCATCCCTAGACTTTTTCGTCTGGAATGAGGAGGAGTGCAGAAGTGACACCCCATGCAAAGGTGTGATCAGCGGCGCCGACTGCCGCTTTCTTCGTGGCTCAGAGTGGCTGCGAAAGATAGCTCTTGGGTCACGACAATAGCTTCAGAACTCGCAGTGGCAACACTGGATCACCACTTTGTACACCTAGATCCATATCTACACTGCCAAAAGTTTTTATCTGGAGCACAAATTGAAGCAAGCAGATGTCGTTTTGCCGTGAAAAATGTCTATAGCTTTCGGTGCGTGCATGGCTGTGTTTGACTGCTCTGCATAAGACGCCCCGTCGAGTTGCTACAAGCTTGGAGTGGCTCCAAGTATTTTTAAAACGCTAAACCTTAAACTTTAACCCTGAACACGTAACCCTAAAACCTAAACCCTACGCGGAGGACAACCAAAGGGGAGCAGGGCACCAACTATCCCTCCATAAGGCTGCCAAATCTTTGGGCTTCACAAGCCACCTGCATCAAAGGCAGTACGCACATGCAGATCTTAAGCCTCCGGGTTCAAGCGCACAACTCAAGCATTCACAAATTGGCATCCGGTTTCCATGAGACGTTCCTTGCGGCCTGAAGCTGGATTTGCTCTGGTTCGTGCAAAGTGCAACTGCGCAGTCTGAATTGGCATGTTATCCTCAAGATGCTTGCCATGTTTACGTGACCACGTACTTCGCTTCGATTTGATTGTGATAAATGACAAAGCCAAATCACGGGCGAAGTGGTACATGTACCCAATACCTTTAGTGACTCCGAAGTTATGACTTTAGCTAAATGCATGTGCATGACGTGCCATGCCGTTCACATTCATGGTCCAGCGGTGTCATGAAAGACATCCTTCTGTCTGCCGCGCTTCATGGGCGGCTTCTGTTGTGTGCAGAAACGATTGGATACATCCGTGGACTGGATCCGGGAGAGCCTACCTGTAGCCTTGAGCGATGATACCGATTACGGAACCAGTCGTTTTGCCCCCCGTGTCGCGGACATGGGGAGTCCTGGATCCAAAGCCAAGAGCCAGGCCCGAACTCGTGAAGGCCGCGACGACTTCGCGGAGGAAGTGGCTTTCCAGATCGCCAGCGATCGCCAGGGCGATTTCCGCGAGCGACGGCGAGCGGCGAAAAAAAACCCATCCTGCATTTTTTTTCTTTCTCAGCCACGCAACGTCTAAGTCTAAGTTTTTAAATTTTTCAATCGCTTCCTTGGCGACAGGTCAGACCTGGTCGAGGCGGCATCCTGGTTGCCTGTTCTCTACGAGGTGTGTCCGCCGGGCCCGGATGACATGCCGCATGTGGCCAAGGCCGTTCACCGAAAGACCAAAGTGCCGCGGCAACTTGCCAGCTTCCGGAAGCCTTCCGGATCAGCCGCGCAGGAACGGCTGCACTCCTTCATTGCTTCACTCCAGAAAATCTCTGCCGAGCACGAAGCGGTGGCCAAAGTCCTGGAGGTCTTTGAGGACTATCTCAACGTCCACCTTATTCAAGAGCTGTGCACAGGAGGGTCTGTCTACGAACGGATATTGGAGCGCCAGTACTTCACCGAGCAGGAGGCAGCAGTGCTCGTGAAGCACATGCTGCAAGCTTTGGCGCCGTTTCATGAGAACCACCTGTACCACGGCAGCCGCTCGGTGCTGCCGTAGGTTTTTAACTCCCGTAAATATTAAACAGGCTAGTAAAGCTATTCGGGTTGGTTTTTGATTTTTGATGCGAGGTTTGAGCCCGGAGTGCTTCCGGTTCTTGAACGCCTCGCCCCACGCGCCTCTGAAGCTCGTAGACTTCGGTCTCGAGCTGAAGGCCCATCGCTGGAACGCCGTGGAGCATCTCAGCGGCCCCGACTTGCAAAGCCCCTGCCTGGGCCTGACATGCCTGAAGAGAGAGAGAGAGAGAGAGAGAGAGAGCTCAGAGCACTTTTTCCTTTTCCCTATTGTTTCAGCTTGGGCGGCTCTCTTGCATTTATCTTCAGGTCTTCCCGAGTTCTTCGAAACTTGCAAGCTGGTCTTTTGCGCTCCCGACTTTGCGCCGCCCCAGCAAACGAGGCGTGCTTAGACTCGGGTCAGCACGGCCCGGCCGCGGCCATCGAGTTTCGTTTCGATTTCGGTTGAGCTTTGCCTTCTCAGGCGGAAGAAGGATGCCGAGTCGGTGGTCGAGATGGCGGCCTATGCACACGAGGTGCCGGAGGTGAGGGGCCAAAGCCAAAGTTATACTTGTTTGCAAGGAGGCTTTTTGCCTCGAACCGTTTGGGGAGGGAAGAGTGTTGTTCTTGCTCCGACAAAGTCGACAAAGCCCAGCACACAGAGAACTCTCGCCGTGAACTCACATCCCCACACTTACAGAAGGGAGTATTCAGACCCAGCGCGAACCCAAGCTCGAACCCACGACTGGGGTCGACATGGAGTCAAGGAGCAAGACGGAGTCAACCTCTTGGACGAAGAGGTGCTGGCGAACGTCCTGAGCGAGCATGCCGACTGGGTTGAGGAGCATCGATGGGTGTTTAAGCGGGTTTTCGACGATTCATTCTCGCGCAGGAGCAGCGGTCCGTCATGGCGGGTTCCACGAGTTTCTCCACCAAGAACGAGGCCGCCGACATGTGGAGCATTGGAGCTATAGCCTTCCTACTTCTCTGTGACTGCGGCAGAAAATTAGTGAGAAGTTTGGATCTCATAGGAGCCTCGCCCTTCGGTTACCGTGTTTTTCGGTTGCTTGATGCGGTCTGGGTCGTGCGGAGCAAAGGTGGCTACCCTCCATTCTTTGCTCCATCTCGGAATGCCATCCTCGGCCGCATTCATCGCGGGGAAGTGTCCTTCGATCCACCCTTCTGGTCCAAGATTTCCGAGGAGGCCTTAAGTAGCCTTCAAGGGCCATATAAGTAGCCCTTTCTTAAGAGAGTCAGGTTCTCTCCATTCTGTTTTATGTAGGGCACTGTAGGGAACCCTCACAGACGGGCCTGGGCCCGGGCCCATTGGGGCCTTGGAGGCGAAAAGCTTCGTGTCCAGCTGCTTGCAACAATCCTTCTGGGATCGCTGCAGCCTTCAGGCGGTGTTGGGTGGGGTTGGGTGGGTTAGAGCCAGCTTTCCTCTTTAAGGCGTCTTCGCACAGCTTTAGTAAAAGGCTCAGTGTAGGCTTAGGCTCTTCTAGCCCTCTTTTTTCGATGCTGGCAGCACGGAGCTTGCTGCAGGAAGCCCTGAACCACCCGTGGATCTTGCGCCTCGCCGACAGCTCACCATCAGGGTCCATGTTCGCCTCCTTTATGCTGAACTTGCGCCGTTTCTACCGCACTTCCCTGATAGAGATCTACACAGCCAGAATCCTTGCCACGCAGTTTCGCAGGGAAGAGCTGCATGAGTTCCTCTGTCGATGCAGGGAGATCGACATGGCGAGCAGTGGCTTCTTCACGGCCTCGGATCTGAAGCACATACTTTCTGCTTTGGGCCATCCTCAAATTGCCGAGGCTATATCAAGCCGTTTCCTGCAGACCTTCAGGCACCCAGGCGAGTCGTACATTGACTATATGGCCCTACTGGATGCAGTCCGGCTCCGGCAGCAGCGCATGTTCGAGGACGAGCTCTGGCGCCACTTTCAGCGTGTCCTGCAGAGCAGCGGCCGCTGCGACGTGGATGGCATCTGCAGCTCCCTCTTCGTCAAGGACCTTCCCATCGCCGCGAGCTCAGCCTCGGCGCGTGGAAGTCTTCCTCTTTCAGAAGGAAACGCGCACCTGCGGCCCAGCTGCCAGGTCTTCGGCGATCCGGTGATCGTGGGCCTCCTGATGCGGGAGATCCCAGACAGCCCCGGCCTCGAAGAGCCTCGGCCGCAAAGGCAGGCAGAAGTGCTCAGAAGTGCTCAGAAGTGCTCAGAAGTGCTCAGAAGTGCTCAGATGTGCTTCCCCGAGGACGCCAGCGTCTGCCACCGCCTTCAGGTTGGGCTCAGGTCCGAGTGCACCCTGCGCGGCACTTCGCAGTTGGACTTTCGGACGCTTTGCTCCGTCCTCCTCCAGCAGCTCCGCCAGTTCTGAGCCTGAGCGAAGCACTGAAAGGAGATCTTCGCCAATGTGCAAGACTCTGGCGCTGCAGACCTTCTTCGCGGCACAAGCGCTGACCGAGGGAGAGCAAAGCCAAGGGGTGATCGGTCAGAAGGATCGCTCTCTGCCGGTCAGGTTTGCGATGTATGAAGGCCTTGAATGAACTGTTGCGATCAAGCTGCGGTGTAGTTATGAAGTGTGCGAAACGAGCAATGGGACGGGGTTGAGAGGCCACAGGCCCCATTTGGGGCCCCATATGGCAACTTAGAGATGTGCAGCTTTGTACGAACGTTTTCAACGAAACATCTTCTGCACGTTAGCCGGGACTCGAGCCATGCCGGCCATCGAAGCGGTGGCAGACCTCGGCGCCCTCAATAAGTGGGCATGCGAATACCATCATATCGCCTCAGAGGCTCGCGGCTCACATGTATCTCCTTGTAATGCTGCGGTTGATGTCGCAGACAGGCCCTGGAACCCAGGCGGAAAGCACGCGGAGTTCCTTGGTGCGGACATGCTTGTACTGGTAGTACTGGTAGAAGAGTGACGGCAGCCATCGTAGCACAATCCCAGGCATCCAAGCCCTTAGCGGAGTTGGCTGTGACTCCGCAGCTGTCCCGCGGAAGCACCGTGGAAGGTGAGAAGCACGGAAAGCATCGATTGTCTGTCTTACATTCGAGTTGGTGGCTGTGTGCTCCACAGGAATAGGCTCCCGCAGTGGCTCGCTCGAAGCGAGCTTGAGGGACGAGGTGCGTTGGAGCCATTTCGTATTTTCCGATACAGCGTGGCATGGAATTACAGCATTTTGTTTCATGCAGGAGCGGTGGTCCGCCGCCACCACGCCGCCCGGGGCCCAAAGGTCGTTGCGGTCTGCGTTGCCGAAGCTGACGTGCTTCTTCCCGCGCTCGTGTGCTTTGATCTGAGGAAAGGGGACCTGATGTGTCGGATTCCAAGCAGGGGATCCCAGGCGCGTTCCTCCAGAAGCACCAAGGACAGATCTCAGACTCAAGCAACAGAGCCTTGCAGAAGCGACAAGCGACGAGATCTCTGCTCTTCCGTTCGTTCCTTCTTTGTCGAGGAGCCCTTTCCTCATAGCCCGAGCAGCTCGGCGCTGGCCCTGCCCACTGAGAGCGAGGAGACACAGAGCCGAGCCATCAACAGCCAGAAAGGCATGGAATGGCAAGCAGGAGCCTGTTCCAGCCGGCCGCTTGAACCTCTCCGATTGTGAAGACCGGGCCGAGGCGCCCTCCGAAGCCGAAGCCGACCTGCGCAGAACGCATGGCGACCCGTTGCAGGAGCCTGGCGCTTGGGCCCTTGCCATCCGGGAGGACAAGGAGACCCCTTCGAAGGAGACTCCGTCTGCGCTGGCGCTGGCGACCAGATCGGAAGACCTGGCGCTGGTGCCTGTGTGCCTTGGCGGAGTTTGAGACCCGGGTTACTTACAGTTACTTGCTTGTGTCTCTGGGCTTCTTAGGGCACGGCCGTCACCCAAAACACGGCGGATGAAGACAGAGTTGCTCGCTACGCACCCGTGGCTGCAGCAGCTCCAGCAGAGGCCTGGAGCGACAGCGACATCGGGAGAGATGCTTCGCCGTGCCATGCTCTGCGTCTGTGAGGTCCTTGCATGGGTCTGTGCCCAGCTCTCCAAGCGGCACCCGTTCGTTCGGAGGAAAGCAGGTGTGCAAGACTCACGAGTCACGCAGAGTCTCCTGAGCTTCCCGGGGTCACGGAGGCATCATCGACCTCAAGCTTGCCTCCATTGGACAACCTGCAGATTCAGCTCCACGATGGTCAGAAGATGGAGGCAGCTGTCGGCAACATCTGTGCAGCTTCTGAAGCTTTAAGTGCCGAGTTGGTGGCCTATGCCTCCCCACGAGCACCTTCCCGTGGATCAGCTGCTGTAGAGGACTCGGCGGAGAGACTCAAAGCAAGAAGTCTTGTCACGCAAAAAGCTCGTAGCCGGGTAGCCTCTTGAAGCTTTTTGGAGGAGCCGCAGGTCGTCACGAGGCAGAGGGGATGAGTTGTCTATGCCCTGTGCATATTGCTACACCCTGCCAGTACTACAGGCCACTGCGGGAAACCTGGAGCAGCAAAGACGAGATGGCGCTGAAACACGTCGCCGCCGGGACCGAACGACAAGAGGAGGGTCTCCTGCCCCAGAGCATCCGCTCCATGGACTACTGGCGCGCCACGGAGCTTTTCCACCTCTTCGATCGGCGCACAGGTCGGGAGGTGGGGGGACGCATTTTTCTGGTTTGGGCCGTCCCTTTTGAGGCGAGCTGGACAAGCTCGGGTTCTACCACTTGCTGACGGCTGCCTCACGTGACAGGGAGAGCATCGCAAGGAGACGGAGCGACGCCCGGACCAGAACGGGGGAGCTCAGGGTTGGAGTCCTTCAGATCAAAGCCTCGCAACCCCCCCCAGAGCCTTCTTGCATTGCGAGTTGTGGGGTGCTTCTTTGGCACGCCCAGCCTTGGGCAGGCACCGTTGCCACAGGTGCTGGCTCTAAATTGCCTTTGGGACATACGGAAAATCACATGTATGTTTCCATGCGACGCTACATGCAAAAAGAGCCATCAGGCTCTTGGAACTGCTGTGCTCTCTCTCAGTTCAGAGTGGCTATAGAACGACTGCCCCCCAAAATGTCCTTGGACAGGAATTCAGTGTGCCTTGGCCCCAGGATCGGATTTTTGATGAGATCGACATCGACGGCTCAGGGAAGACGCTCTGATGAGTTTTGTGCATGGCAGCGCAGGGCTGGGGATCTGGAAGCCAAGGATCGACAGGGAGGAGTTCTTGGGATGGGTCTTCCAGACCAACAACAGCTTTCTCAGCTCAGTGAGGAGGCCGGCCGGGAAGGTTGGGGGCGACACTGCTTCGCTTATTGCGCCTGCGCGCGGGTTCCTCGAAGGCGGTTGGAGACCATGGACCAGGTGAAGGTGAAGGCATTGTTCGAGCAGATGGACTCCTGGCAAGGTTTGGCCACCGCAACTTCATGGGTCTTGTTGTCAGACATCTCCCTTGATGGTATGTGTGTAAGGCCGCACTTTTGGAGCTTTGCACAGCGACTACTGTAGTGCTGTTGCACATCAAGCCAGCGACATTGCAGTGCAGCAGCCGAGGATCACGACGGCAACAAGGTCGTCGACAAATTTGAGTTTTGGGATTTCGTTGAGAAGTTTAGTCCTGGGATGCTGTCTGGAACTCAGAACAAGCATTGGCGTAGGTTGTTGCGCGGGTCAGTGGAGGGCTTCGTCTTTGTCTGCCCGTTTTTGACCCGTTGATGTTAGGCTTAGATGGTTCGCGCACCACCATGCCCTGCCTCGTGTCTAGTTGTGGCATTCCTCAAAGTCTCCTGTTCGGTAAAGGATCTCTGTCACACTGTTGCCATCTGTATCCACGGGACTCTTGGGCCCTCGACTGTGGCATTTGAGGTCTCGGTCAGCGAGCGATGAGCTTCACGAATTTATTGATGCGGACAAGTCAGGAGGTATCGCCGGAGACTCGGTGACTGGAGCATCGGCACTCTTGCAGTGTAGCAAAGACACTGGCTCTCCTTGAAAGGAGGGAGTCTGTTCGACATACACACCAGACATCAGATCAGAAATCGCCAAGTATTTCTCAGGCAGACTGTGCATGTCCTGCTCAGTGAGCAGCTGGAGACGGCACGAGTAGATTTTTTGACTTAGGGTCTTCATCGCTCATTGGCCTGCCACCGCCAGTATGCAGAGCTTCCATCTCACAAACACTTCGTTTAGTTGTATTGTTTGCTTCGCAGAACTTTGGCAGCCCAGAAGCCTAGCGACCTGACGGAAGACTTTGGGTAAGTGAAACAGTCCGGCATTACGACTCCGAGAGAGAGGTTCTTCCACTCTCCACGGTGGACACCGGCACTGCAGGATGTGGACGAATTCCTGAATTGGGTGCATCCTGGACGGGAGCTCAAGATGCTCCGGGCAGAGGCGCGTCACGACAAGGTGCCTCTCTCAGACCATGGCGATGCCTTTGTCTGTAGTGCACGGCATGGCGCTTGTCTCGAACCGAGGGGATCACGGAGAAGGTGGCGACGAACATGGTGGCGGTGGACGAGGCGCTTGCCCAGACAGACCGGACGATCACCTGATCTTCCGTGCTTGGAGTCTCCATCTCCGAGCCATCTCCAAAACTAAAGGCTAAAGGCAGACTTGAAAAATAGCAGTAAACAGCGCAACAGGGAGCTGAAACGAGACAGCACGAACTGGCACCTGACAGAACTCCTACGTGGCTCCCAAGAAGCCGCTGATGGAGACGGAGCCTGGCAAGCCCGTGGTCCTGGAATTCTGGAGACTCGGCCGACAAAAAGAAGCCCCAAACTGCGCTCTGCCCTGCCCGTCGCGTCGTCTTTTTGGCCGCCGACTCTGCGCTCCAAGCGGTTGCCGCTCTGGAGCGGCATCCGCGGCATCCGGCGCTATTCGCTTTCGCTGTTTTTTGGGCGCTCAGGATCGGCAGCGAGTGGACTCCGGCCTTCGAGTCGATGAAGCGGAGCCTCCGCAACGTCTTCAGCCCGCAGCAGATCAGGCCGGGCCGGGTGTCGGGCCGGGCTGCCCCCGAAGCTGCCCCCCTGCTGTTGTGACCGAGGTTTCAGAGTCGGCGAGATCCTCATGTTGTCCACACCTGCTCAAAGCTCGTCGCCAAGGCAGGGGGGGGGACCTCACGGCCCAAGCCGCCATTGACTTAAAGAAGCCCGAAGCTGCAATGCTGTCCTCGAAGATCCTCGGCCTAAATCTGCCAAAGATCAGAAAAGCAGTATCTAAAAGTTTCCTCTTATGCTTCGGGAGGGAAGGGAGTTGGGAGCATGCTGGGTTGCACTGCCTATCCAGATTATGGTTGTGCACTCACTGCACTCAAAGTGAGTTTCATGTAGTTCGTGCGCATCACATCATGCTCCTGTCTATCGCTCTCAGCTCTACGTGGGCTGATCAAACATGTGGTCTCTACTGTAGTGTATTCCTTACAGTTTAGGGGACCAAAAAGGGGCCCATAATTTTGATGAACCCCCATTCCCGATATCCAACCTTCCCTCCGTCCATTCCATGTCTGAGTCTTTTTGTTCTTTGTGCGTCTGGGCGAAGGTCGGTCGTGGCATCATCCTCTGGGACAGAGACTCGATGCTGATGTTCAAGGACGATCCGTTCATGAACCAGGCGCGTTCTCTGTAATGTTTTCGTTCGGAGCATTTGGGACGAAAGCTGCTGAATAGTATGGTGAGGAGGAGGTCGGGGAAAGGACGCGAATAACTTTTCGGTTGCCTTCCTAGTCGAACCTGGTTGTCATCCGCAAATATCGTTGGCTTTCCTGTGATTCTTGCTCCCCTTGCATGATTGCTGATTCCTCTCTCAGATGTTCTTCTTAGGCCCTTTTGTGGTCGCTTTATTTCGAGTCGCAGTTCGAGAACTACACAGGTTCTATGTGTGATTAAGATGTCGGCGCAGGCGACTGCCGGCAAGTGGCTCAAGGAGGTGCTTCTCCAATGCCTTCCGGATGTTATAAACGCATCCTGGCGAAGAGATGGGCTGTAGTCTCTTGTTACTGCCAGGGTCCGGCCGGGCAGAGTAGAACGATGGAAGTCCTGCCTGGTAGGAAACAGCCTGCAGCTGCAACAGTCTTCGCAAGGAAGCGTTCCTGTGAGCTTTGAAGCCCTTCTCACGCACCCGCTGCATCTTCCCATCCTTCTTTCAGAGCAAACCTGGGCTCGCAGCTGGCGGCCCAACAGCCCACAAGCAACAGTCTTTCACTCCAGGCTGCCAATGTCAGGCTGCTGAAGCGGAAGAAGTTGCACGTTTGTTTTGCTTCTTGGCGGAGTTTGATTGATGGGGAAGTGTGCTGCACCTCGCGACCTTCTTCCCAAATCAGACTACGACACCGAGGAATGTGGAAAAGCTTTGGAAGGCCTTCGGAGACCATCATTGTTGCAACCATACGACGATGCATGCGCTTTCAAGGCTCGCGATACATGAATGTCTTGGAGTACAAGGTGTGCAGTAAGCTGCTCGCCCGCAACTATGCGAAGTGCAAGGTGGTCAGAGGTCGGAAGGTTTTGCCAAGTGCTTCAGGCATTGCGCGGGACTGCTGAAGGCACGAGCGGTGATTGAGGACTGATGCGGAAGCGCATAGATGTGCTTCCGCAACCCAGCAAGCCGTGAACAGATGTTCAAGGGGACATCTGTGGCTTCTGGCTGATCGTCATCTACACGTTGGATTGTGATCTGTTGGACACCTCTTTCCATCAAAGTGGTATCTGTTGGCCACACGGGGCTCGAGAGGCATGATTGCGTAGGATTTTGTGGGGTGGTCTAGAGTTTCTGCAAAGTGTAGCCAAGATTAGCGAAATGCATGGCGATTGCCAGCTGTGGAGTAGCTTTTCAATACCCTTTTTTTTGCATGCTTAATGTTGCTGTCGGAGAATGCATGGAGGCATGATGGCAGAATTGCTTGAAGCTTTGGCGATCCACCGCAGCCATGCTGCGATGCACAGTCTTTGGGTGAGCTGTCATGGTTCCGAAGAAGATCGAGTTGTCCCCCAACCACGTTTGTACTCTGTGTCTAGAAAGTCTGTTGAAGCCATTCCGGAGATCTAGGAGCAGTCGGGCAGCTGCGTGGCCCTTCCGGCTCAAATCGACATGTGTTCCTGTGGTTACACCGTGTGCGCCACTCCTTCAAAAGGTTGATGGCTGCACTGCACCACATGCCGTCGATTCGGAGAAAAGACTATTCAGGGCATTGTCATTGAAGTTAAGATCTGAGATGGACGCTGAAGTCGCCAGCCAAGGGCCCTGCGCCGGCCAAGACTTTTTCAAGCCTCTCCGCCTTGGAATGGGAATTTAAGCCAAGGCTTAAGACTAAAATCAGAGTGTCAAGCGAGTGAGCTTGGGCGGAACAATACCATTTATGGAGTCCTGAGTATGTTAAAACCAGGGCCTTTACACCAACCTAGATCACGGCGGGCTGCATGCTCCAGGGTTCCGTTTGGGTTTCCGTTTACGGTTTCGTTTCAGGTTCCCTCGACGGGTCTCCGTTGAGTTGAAGGACTCTGACTTTCTTTTCGCCCTTTTCGACAGTGCGTTGCCAAGGACATGCTGGTTGCTCGTTGATTGACAGACGGATTTGAAAGCAAGAGTCCAGTGATGGTGGTGAGGGTGGTGGTGGTGCTGGTAGCGTTGCTGGTGAGGATTGGAGGTGGTGCCTGCGATGACTGTGATGAGTGGCTCGCGTGTTTGGTTGTCTCGGCTAGCTTTGAGGCTCGGATTTTGAGTCACTGCTGCCATTAGACGAAGGCTCCTTGTCACGAGCACGCGACGATGAGCTGAAGCTTGTGACTGCCGGACAGCTTCACCGACTGATCTTTGTTTCTCAAGCCTAGACTTGTACAGTTGCACAGTGCTCCCGTACTCCGGCATCCACAAGGCTCTCGAAGTTAGCAATTCAAACATGAGTGTAAACGGTGCTATGGCTTAAGCTTGGCAGGTGCAAGCGATGTCGGTGTGGAGCCAAGCTTGCCCGGGAGCGAGTCAAGGTTTCCTGCGCCACGATGTTAGGTCCTAAGTCCTCGAGCGTACACAGCTCTTATAGAAACCGGTGCCGGCAACCCAGATATTCAATCTTTGCCTGGTTGGAGTGTTTGCATGAAAGTGGCCGAAGGACGGTGCAGGCATTTCCATGCGATTACAGCATGAGATCGAGCGAAGGTTGAAGCAGGACTGCAACCCTAACGTGCTCGATGTTGAACCTGGAGTACCAGAACTTCGTGTGACGATGACGATTTTCACGAGCTGCCAGCAACGCACTGCAGAGGACCCAAAATCCGACTGGGCAAGCGCCGAACGCCCTCCACCTCAGCGCTTGAGTTCTGTCCGGCGAATTTTGGAGATAAGAAGGTTTTCAGGGGTGCGCTCGAAGCGATCTTCACCTCAGGCCAACTCGTCCGGCCTGCATCTGCCATTGAGGATGAAGGCCTGTGTCTGAGGCTTTTCATGACAGCTCTCCGGCTCTCTCCCAGATGAGCAAATTTGTCTTTGCCGAAGAGCAAATTTGTCCTGGGTTCTGTCAGGGCGTCTTTCGTTCTACGAGTGGCAGGAACTGCAGGGCCTGCAGCGTCCCAAGGAAGCTGCTAGGAGCTGCCTGCGCCTGCGCTGCTCTCTCTCTGCGTTCTGCCCCCTTTTAGGCGGGAGCGGGAGAAGGACCACGCCGCAGAGATCCAAAGGTTGCAGAAGCGCTTGGAGGCCCGGCCCTGCTCTGCCGTCTTTGCAGCTCCGGAGTCTTAAAAAGACTCTCGTCTAGCTAGTCTTAGAGTGTCCTAGTCCTACTGTAAGAGCCCCGCCGTCCAGAGCCTTGCAGGAAGCAGAAGGCCGGACGCCCGGCCGAGGGAAGGAGGCTGCAGGCTGCTTGTGACCGTGGGAGAGAGAGCGAGCACAGGCCCGCAGCATTTGAAGGTTGAGAATCTCAAGAAGGAGCCGCTCTTTCCGCCAGGGCTCCTGTTGGCAGTCATGTCATGGTGATGCTTCAGTCTTCAGTGCCTTGAATCGAAGGAGCTTGACCTCACGGACAAGCTTTTTGTTGAGCGCAACCAACACTGCCGAAAGGTGGGCCCAAGAATTGTGTTCCAGCTTCATGGCCGCATTTGCGGGTGAAGGTGGAGCTCGAGAAAGCCAACGTGGCTGCAACACTGAAGAGCAAGGATGGGGTACTAACGGCTATGCGGCTATGACGGCTATGCCTAGTGGGCTCGTGATGCCCTCATGCCAGGAGAAGGAGGTGAAGGACTTACGAGAGGAGTTGGGGGTCGCCACGGAGCAGGTGCAGGCCGGCGGCCTTCACTGCAAGTCCCCAGCTGCCCGGGTCGTTACTCACGAGGCAGCCCAGAGACGCCTGGCCGAGAAAGAGACTGAGAACAAGGCCTTTTTTTTTTTTTTGCATTGGCAGAGGTGAAAGCTCCCCCGTCTCGGTCCCGCGCTACTCGTAGCGGGAGAGCGTAGCGGGAGCCTGCTGCAGGCGCTGCAGCGAAAATGCGAGCGGTTGGAGCGCAGTCTCAAGGCGCACCATGCCAAATCATGCCCCTGCAACCGCCAAAAGTCAGACACTGGCAATCAGGAAACGGTGGTTCTGGAAAGTTGTGGCCAGCAGCAGTCCAAGATCTATCGCTCACAGCGGGCCTCTGAGAGCCTTTCACAACTTGAGCTCCCTCCTGCAGCTCTCTCTGCGCTTGTCCGGTACAATTTGATTTGCAAGGTCTGGAGGCATGCTGGCCGAGAAGATGCACCAAATCCGTAGACCCCCAAGCAGTCCCGGCACTTTCATCCTTCTTGATGCCACGATCGGCATGAATGATTCTGGAGGTCTTCACTGGTGAGGCCTGCCACCCGGAGCAGTAGCAGTACAGCCGCACAGGAGGCTGCAAACCGACGTGCCGAGGTCGTTCTTCGCACGGAGACCTGTGCACATGCCGAGACGGGCAAGTGCTTGGGTCGTGTCACTCTGCCTCAGAGCAGAGACTGTGTATTGCCGTATTGCCTGTCCCTTCTTTCACCCCCTTTGTAACCCGTCTGACAGCGCTGTGTCAGCCGTATGTTATCTAAGCATATTTCGGAGCGGGAAGGCCCGCCGGTGCCGAGCCAACTTGGGAAGGGGCACCGGAAGAGGTTCGGGGGATCGGAGATTCACCGGCAGGCAGGAATGAAAGAGAGGCGACCTGACTTGAGCTGCCTCGAAGCTTCGGACACTCTGTGACACAGAGCCGTGCTGCAGACATCTCGAGTCTAATCCGTATGGGCGGAGTCGCCAAGAGGCAGCTCTGTTGAGAGGCCGCGGGGTCCCTTGCGAAGGCAAGGATGCAGTTCTTTTTCCCAAAGTGGGCAGGCTGAATTTTCTGCGTCATGCAGGCGTGACTGGCTGACTGCCCCATTATCACACTGACACAATGAACAGGAGGTCACGGGACCTTAGGCTTGGTCTGTTGGCAGTCACCAGCTTCTCACAAGCTTGTGCTCGTGCCGGGCCCGACAAGCTTTGTTTTGTCATTTTCTCTAATTTTAAGATTGTTTAGAACCCTGAATGTGTCCTTGGAACCACGAGGGCTGCAATCTTTTGCAGCTCCATGCTCTGGAGGCTCGCAGATCTGCCGCAGCCGTAGCTATTCCTCCAGCTTGTAAACGAGCACGGCGTGACAACATAGCCCTCATCCATCAACATCAGTATCAGTATCAGCATCAGTTTCAGTATCATCAGCATCATCATCATCATCATCTTCTTCTTCGTCGCAGTAGGTATAGGTGGGAGCAAGGCTTGCAAGGACAGTGACGGCATCTTCGCATTCTTATCATGGTGCACGATCAGCTCTAGATGAAGAGGCCTGCAACCGGTCGATTTTGCGAGGTTTCAATAGTGCAGCTCCGAGGCACCGCGCATTTCCTTTTCGAATCTTTAATGATCCCTTTCACAAGCAAGTCATCGCTTGGGAAAAGACGCCAGAACCTTCGGGGAGCTTAGAGGCGTTGGGGGCAGTTCGGTTCACGTCTCCCAAGACAGATTCGATTCTGCATGACCAGCAATTGCTGCCACAAACCACAGACACGCGTCAAGTAGTCGACAGCGCTGCGTTCCTGCATGGCTCTCGTATAACGAACCTTTCAAACCCAACCTGGACTGTGTTTTGTGCCAGCAATGCATTTTCCGCTGGACCTCGGAAGGCAAGCAATGCTTGTCGGCAGGCTGCAGAGGGCGCACCGACCGACAGAACAACAGAGAAACGCTTCGATTTTGGGGGAGCAGCCCTCTGACGAGCCTGTCTCCACTCGTGGAATTTGATTTGCGTGGGATTGGACAGAGGGCTAAAGTTCTCACACTGCACGCAAGTTGAAGCCCTGCAACTGGGCTGAGCAGGCCCTTCGGATCCATGCAGAAACTGCACGAGCACGAACCCCAGATCCCCTCGATCTTGCCTTTGCACGGCTTGACGAGGAAGGTTCTCTTGGTTGCGGGTCCATGCGACACGCCTTTGTGATTGATGGTAAGCGAACGTTCGGAAAAAGGCGTTCGGTTTCTGTCATCTGCATGCTGGGCGGGCCATTGGTCTATGAACTGAAAAGCCGCGCTTCTTGAAGCTTTGGGCCCCTGAGCCGGTGCCGCCGTTCCCTCCGTCTCGGTGCCATGAGGCGCTGGCGCTCGTGGCCCGCGTGGCCTGCGTGGCTGCTTTTCCTTGGGTCTTTGACCTGGCCAAGCCAAAGAGACGTCGAGGGGCAAACTGACTTTGTGCACCTTCGAAAGGCGTTGCCAGGACGGAGGAGCGGCCCTCGTGGACTGCGCAGTTTCTACGGGGATTCGATCCCTGTGCCTCCACCTGGTCATCCTGACCATCCAGTTGGTGCTGAGGTTCAGCCATTTGCCAATCAAAATGGAGGTGTTGATGACACCATCGCGCCACCCCGCCTGTACATGTCACATGCTTGCGTTTGGCACGCGACCTTCCGTGGTTCTGGAGTTTCCGAAAGCGTGAAGACATAAGCAGAAGAAAAAGCCGTCCAGCCGAAGCTTCTCATTTTCATTCCCATTCTCTCTCTCTCTCTCCTTCTTGTTCTCCTCTCTTTCTTTCACATCGTGCATGTGAGGTATGGTCCAGCGGCAAGCCCGCTCGCGCGAGGCTACGCGGTGGACTGCAGTGCATGGCACACTTCTGGGAGTGCAGAGCGGGAGCAGCTGGTGGACCAGGTCCGGGCGCCGTTGCACGCCATCTGCCCCTGCTCCCGGCCCCCTTGCCCGGCCCAGGTCTTGACGGTGCTGCGGAGGAACGGCTTCGCGGTGCTGGAGGGCATGGTCCCAGCGGCCGAGCAGCTGGCGATGGAGGCGGCGGCCGTGCGCCACTTCGAGACTTTGCCTGAGGGCTACTTCACCTCCCCGCTGCGTGCCGATCGGTCTCAGGTCCACGTGCCCTACGAGGATCCGAGTTGGGAAGACACATGAAGACGTAGGGGCCGGGGACGGTATAGGTCTGGCCACTTTCCAGGAGCCCTGGAGCGCCGAGTGGCTGGTGCCCAACGACCTTGTGCTGCAGGTCACGGCGAGGTATGTGATCAACAACATGGCCTGTGGGAGGTCCGAGGAAGAGCAGCAAGCGGCCTGGTGCCAGTGGGTGACGCAGGGCTCCGACATGGACTGGTTCTATCAAGTGCCGCCACAGCAGGGTCCCTTGGCAACCGAACCACCACATGGCTGCACTTGCGTCGGGAGAGCCGAAGAGCTTGGGCCCTGGCTGGGACGGGTGATGATCACCAAGACCCCGAAGCAGTCACCTCTGATGACCCGACACAGGGACATCATCCTACCGGGCCCTTTCGCACAGCTCACGGTCGGCGTCCCTCTGACGCCCTTGGTGGCCAACAACGGCCCCTTGGCTCTGAGGCCTGGTTCCCATGTCATGGACAGCCCCGGCTACGAGGTGGTGACCAACATCCCCCACGGTTCCATCATGCTCTACGATTCATTCGTCGACCACCGGGCCGTAGAGCACCATGGCACAGAAGACCGCTACGTCCTCTACTACGAGTTCGAGACGCGGGGCATCTTCACCGGCTACGTGGACGGCCACTTTGGGAAAGAGGCCTCCAAGTCTGCGCTTCCGCTGAAGAGTCTTTATATAGAGATATACTTTCGTGCCGCGGGTCTAGGACCTACATAGGATCTTCTGGTTCCCCAATCCCGTCACGACGCAGCGACGTAAGGAGCACGACTTCCGGGAGGTCGTCGATCCTGTCCTTCGGAGTTATGTGGCGCAACTTCAGGACCAGCGGATTATGGCGTAGACCACAAAAAGGGGAGCAGTGCAGCACAGCATGGTTGTCTTTAGTGCCCGAGGGTCCAGCATGCTCTGCATATAGTGCTGCTCTCGAGCAAGGTCTTCGCTTGTGACTCAGTCCATTCCACGCCTGCTGGAGGCTGTCAGGTTGTAGGGTCTTTGGGAGGTCTTCAGCTTGGTCGCGAAGGTCCATCTACCTTGCACTCGGTGTTTTTTTCGAGGTTGGTTCCTCCATTGCCTACCATTGCTTACCATACATTAGCATGCTAAGGCCTCCACTCGACCCATCCGAACATAGTCGCTGGAAGCGAGCGTCGAAGATTCTGCGGCGATTCTGAGCTTTGAATTCAGAGTCAAGCCTGTCCAGATTAGGCATTGACCCACGCATAGTATTTCATCTTTTTTCCAATAAAGTGGTGGCAGTCCAGGCAAGGGTGGTGCAACGGTTGTTGCGGGAGTTGCGTGATAATAATGCGAGGGGAAGGCCTCTCGTAGAATGGTCATTCCTCCTGTGCGGAGCCCTGGAAAGCGGCTTGAATCGACGCCGGAGAAGGAGAACAGCTTTGGCTCGTGGAACCTGGACCTTGGCAGATTTCAGCGGAAGTGCGCGGAGATCAGCGCATCCCTGTCCCAGCCATCACTGGGGGACCGCGTCCGAGCGGAGACCGCACGAAGTGGCGATGCCCCGCTGCCCTCGACGAGCACCGTCTTGCAAGGCGAGGCCTGGAGCCCGAGCCCGAGCCCGCACGAGCGAGGCGAGCCAACACTTAGCTCCGAGCGATCGCCCTTGCAGGACTGTACTGTCCAGGTCCAGTCTCCGACGGGGCAGAACTGCGCGCAGTTTCGCTCGCCGCACAGCAGCCCGCTACCAGTAGCGGCCAAAGCAGCCGTGCAGCTGGTGCCGTCTCCGTCGTTGGGGGCGCTGCATCCGCTGCATGCCGTGGGGCCGACCCGCTGGTGTCTACCGGAGTTCGAGGATCTGCGCAGGAAGATGCAGCACAGCCAGGACCTCACAGCTGGCAAGGTGCGTGCATCGAAGCGAGCTCACTTCGATTCGAGGCATCTCCGCGCTCCAGCGGAGCAATGCGCAGCAGGCAGAGATGCAAGCAGCACTGTCGCAGGCGGACCTGCGAGAGGGATGCCCAGTGTTACGCAGGGAGGGATTTCTTGGTGAGGCTTTGCAGCGTGGCGAGAGCTTCAAGGAGGAGGCGCAGGAAGCCAGGCGGTCCAAGGACCGGCACCATCACAAATGGTGTGCGCTCGACCAAGAGCCCCCAAGCTGCAAAGATTGCACCAGCGTGCCAAGCCCCGGGCCCTTTTGCCCTTCGTGCGGCTTGTTGCAGAGGCGGGAAGCGCTGCAGCGCGCAGCGCAGGCAGCGCAGGCAGCAGAGCGCGCAGCACGCGGCGCCGAGCGCTCGGCGCTGGAGGAAGCCGCTGCCGGTGCCCGAGCAGTGCACAGACAACAAGACGGGGCTCGCGCTTCATGGTTTTCAGGCCTGGAGACGTTGGTTGGCCAGCTTCCTGGATGTTGGGAACCCAGACGTCGACCTTGAAGAAGCCAT